CACATTTATTCTTTTTCTCAATCAGCACCCTTACAAAGCCTGGCAATTTAAAAGGCGGATCAGTGATGACTCTTCAGGTCTTTGGCTGTTCTTAAACATTCTTAACAATTTCCCCTCATCATAATAAAATAAAGCCATTTTGGATAAAGAAACTTACATTTAACAAACCTTTGTTTTTAATTTTACGCCACATTATGACAACTTCCTGCTTTGCTAAAATGAACAAGCTAATATCTTGCAGGGCCAGGAAATCAGAGTTTTATCTGATAACTGATGTTATCTGACTTGGCTGAGGAGACGAAGCAGCTCAGGTTTCCAGCTGAGAACCTTGAGAGGCTTGAACAGCTTGAACATTTGCTGCGGCATATTTACTTGTATGTTTATCTGCTTTCATTTGGATGAAAGTTTTGCATTCACCAGTGAATGAATAGCAAATATTGGGAAAGAAACAGTTCATTTTCAGTCTGCCTTTTTCAAATAGTCTTAACAAAATCTGCATTCATACAGATTAATTGCTTCAGTAAGGTACCCTCCTTCAGTTTTGTGGATTAAAAGGAGTCAGACATGAGAGTAACAAGTGAAAGTCAGCTACATGGGGATTATCGGGCATTGCTATTTGGTAACTAAATCAAAGCTACAGAGGTTTTCCTTCTTTTTGGACAAAATAAGCTAGTTTATATTTACTCCAAACGGAGCTGCTGCCAGCTCTGATTTCAAACATCGCATCTGTCACTGTGGCCTCTGGTAGGATAAACCACAGCAGCCCAGATTCAGGCTTTAGTCTGTTCCTCACGCGGCGCGGCGCAGCGCAGCGCCCACTCAGTGAACATGAATGATACTCATGTCTGTGTGGGCAAGGAAGGAAAAATGAAAAAAAAATAAATAAATAAAAAACCCGGCATGCTGATGGCTTTATCTGAGGGCTGCTGGCTTGAAATGACTGTGACATGTACAGTGCAGTCAGCGCAGTGTGAACTGTCCAGGCCATCTTGACAGGCTTTTTAGCTGGAGTAGAGGAACAAAGATGAAAAACGGATGAGATAGATAGATGTTGTAGAGAGAGTCATCAAATGCTAGCAGCCATGAGGAAACATGATGAATGGATTCCCTTTAAACCTTCTTAACTGGAGATGCAACATCAATAATTTAGGAACGAACACTTTATCTGACATCTCCAAACATTTCACAGATACATAGTACACAAATTTTCTTTTTGATTTTGTGCAAGAAACTTTTGCAGTTGTATGTTAATCTGTAAAAAGGTATTTGATTCACTGTCAAACATAATTTCTATGCTATAATATGCTTAGTGCTCTAAGGTTTATTGCAACTAATCAAACATGAGCTCTTATTACGAACTAGAGTGAATACTTATTCGTATAATACTCACTATTATATGAATAAATTGTTGACATTTGGATCTGCTGTTGAATATCTCTTTTGTTCTGGTGAAACAGAGATTAAAAAAGGAACATTAAATTACTTTTGACTCAGCTTGCTTCCAATGAAAGCAAGAAATCTGTCAGAGAAGGTATAATAACATTTTTTTTTTCTGCTGGTCTAACATTTTATATGAAAAATATTTTGGTCTTGAAGATGGAGTTGTTATTTTAGATATACGGAAAACCCTCCACATGTGCAACACAAAAACATTTTTTTTCTCTCAATGTTTGATTATACAGTACTGTGTCCCTCATTAAATAGCTAATCTAACCCCTTATAAAATAAACATACTAATAATACTAATGATCAGACATGTTTATTTAGTAAAATATGGCAAAGCAATGTCCTTCATAAAAAACTGAAAAAAATAAAACAAAAGTTAAGGTATGGCTAAAATTGGCCACATTTTACCAGTCCAAATATTTACACTAAATGTTTTAAATGAAAAAAAGGCTATGTTGTTAGACATCATTCATCTAAATTAATAAAAAAAATAAAACGAAAGGTTTAAAATTAAGAGCTAAATGATTGCTTAGTGATGCAAAAACCAACCTTTGGTTTTAGATTTTGAAGGAAAAGGTACAAATGACATAACTACATTTTATCTTGGTCTGGTTTAAACATTCATCCATCCATTTTCTTACACGTTTAATCCCAAGCGGGGTCGCGAGGGGTGCTGGTGCCTATCTCCAGTTGTCAATGGGCGAGAGGCGGGGTACATCCTGGACAGGTCGCCAGTCCATCAGAGGGCAACACAGAGACAAACAGGACAAACTGCCATTCACACACAAACACACACCTAAGGAGAATCTAGAGAAGCCAATTAATCCAACAGTCGTGTTTTTTGGACCGTGGAAGGAAGCCGGAGTACCCGGATAGAACCTGGTTTAAACATCCAAAATAAAAAGTTATATTATTGCAAAGCTGCTGTACTTTGCTCACGATATAAAATTGTAAAGGGAAAAATCTAAATCAAACATTGAACTTACTTAGCCACTGGATTACATCAAAAACGGTTCTTTATTGAATTTACATCTAAATATTAAACATAAAGGTTGATGGGGGTTCACAATGTAGGGGTCCATTCTGTAACCAATGGGTTGTCGGTTACAGGATTGACTCTTTCTGCCTCTTTCTCTGAGTCATTGGACGAGCAAATTCTCCTGCCTTCCCAGCTCTTTTTGGTCTGACGTTCCGCTGACACTGATTGTATGGCTGCCTTGCTTCTGTCAGTCTGTCCCAGTGCAGCTGTGGCTCCAGCGTAGCTTACCACCACCAACCTGTTGTCTTGAAAATGACTGAATGTCACGTAAAGTGCTGTGGGGTCCTACTTAATAAAGCAAATTACAAGTGCAGGCCATTCAACTAGAATAAAGCATGTGCCTGGGATTGCAGCTTCTACAAACACATGACCCTGCCTCACTCTGTGGACGAGTTCAAAACGACAGCCTGTCAATGATTATTAGGCTCCCTCTAGTCTCTTCTGTCTTGGTTCGATATTCTAGTGTGTGTGGAGTTTCCCGACTTCAGAAGAGGATGCAATCAATTGAATGTGACATGCAGCCAATTAGAAAGCCTTTCCTAAGGAAAAAAACTAAACAAAAAACAAACACAACTCACCAGTTTAGCAGGTAGACTACAGCCCCTGCTCACTCTTGTTAGGTTTATTATTTATACATCATGTGCATTGTTATTCTGTTAGCCAGATTAGACAGAGTAGAAGGCCTTCCTTCACATTGTGGATGTCACTGTGTGTACGGAGGTCATCTAATCAGGACAGCCTCCGTGTCTTTAAAAATACACAGGATATGGGCACATCTTGGAGCTGGTCTGATAGAGGAGAGCTATCTGTAACCCTGAGGCATAGAACCAAGCTGCATGGAGTTCAAGACATGGATGGCGTGTCAGTTTCTGATATGGACAGCTAAACATCAACATGATGCAACACATAGACTCATGAGCTATAAGAAGCAGGAGATGACCTTGTTCGGAGCTCAATCTTTGCCGGACGCTCGCAGACGTGATTTTTGAGCCCACAGCTGTGCAAGCTCCAAGCATTTTCTCTGTCCTGTAACGACCTGATCTGGAATAAACTTTGTTACTTTTTTACTCCTGTTTTATAGTCCTTTTTATATGGTTTTACCCAGTTTGAGTAGTAAATAACTTGCTCCCAGGAAAAGAACCGTGAGGAAGCCCCCGAGGCGCAACAGCTTTTTTAAAGGGACATAACTTCCTCAGTTTCCACTCTTTTAACATTTTCATATTATCATGTTTTTTCTGTTAAAATGTGTCTAATTGGTGATATGTATGTTTCCTGAACTTGATCCTCTTGAACTTGATCTAGTGAGGTCTAGTAAGTTTTCTTGCTAGACGTAAATTTTCCTGCGTGAAATCTGTCTCTGTATGTTGTGCTTGGCGTGTGGCTGTACACCACAGATCGTAGGATCAAACCTGGTATAGTAACGTTTTTGATCGTCATGTGTAGATGGGATCTTTGAGGTTTTGAGAACCAGGATTTTAATACCAGGCACCATTCATAGTTATTGACCCGATTTTTGCTCAAATATAATTAGCTTATATCCGAACTGTACAAACCCAGCATATGAGTAATAGAAATAACTAGAGATGCACCGATCCGATATTTGGATCGCATATCAGCTATAATCCAGTGCACTTTACATGGAACTATTTTTTTTGGTTTTGTTTTTTTAATATAAAGCACATTTACATCTGTTACTTTGTTTTAACAATGTTTCCATTAAGGCTAAAGCCTCTACTTAAATGTACAGTTGAATCGAATTGGTGTCGGCACGATACGCTCAGCTCAAGTATCGGTGTGGGATTGGATCGGAAAAAAGTGGATATGTGCTTCTCTAGAGATAACCCAGCTATGTTTTTGTGCTCAAGAACGACCAGATAATTTTTATCCGTTAAACCCCTTAAACCTACAGAACGTTCACTTTTCCTGTTCTTTAATGAAACATCTATCATGTCCAAATCTTGAAATGTCACATTTGTTGTCCCATTATCATATTTAAACAGTCTTTATTTATGTCACAAATAAACATGAATTAAGTTTGTTGTGTAAAAAAGATGTTATAAGAAAATAGGGTATTCATTTTTTTAAACTCCCATTAGAAAAAAAATCCTTTACTCCCTGTCCTCCATCTTGATGTTACTGTGTTTCTCCTATCTACTTAATAGATGTGGTAAAAGCTCATCATCCAGGTTCATTTTCCATAAACCAGAGACAGTCAGCCCTGCCTCTGTCTAGTGCTCCATTACCATAGTCACTTGGTGACCATTAAGAATTTCATTATGATATTGGGGTTTCGAATTGGACGCATAAACTTTTACTAGTAATATTGTTTTCCATTCTTTGTAAGAGAAATGGGGGGAAGCTTAAGGTTAAGCTCAGAAGCCTTTTTAATTCTTTGATGCCCTACTCAGCTGATGGGCTGTCCCTCCATGAACCTGGCGCAAATATAGATGGGTACTTTCTTTCATTATACCTATGTGTTCACTATTGTGTAATATCTTGCTTTTTTATCTTCTAGATCTGAGCAGCAAGGAACTCGTCGATATTAAGTATCCAGTCTCTTTCCCCGTCTTCCTGCCTGTCAACTACGAGGTACGGGATGCCGACTACCTCTTCCTTAAGGAGGCTGGACAGGACTTCATGAGGAACTCCAGCATGCAGAGTCACACGCAGCCCTTTGTTATTTTAAGAGCCAGCCACCAGCCAGCTGTCAACGCCAGCTATGGTCCTGTGTCCACAGAGAGACCTGTGCCTCTGGATCTGGTGCAGTCGGTGCAGCTTTTTAATGCCCCAGATGTCTTTACATTTAACTGGAAAATCCAGGCCTTCATGCTGACACCCCGGGTTTTCTCCTCTAAACCCAAAGTTCGCGTTCTCTTCTACGTCGCAGGGAGGGATTGGGGCAGAGGCAAGGGAGCCGAGGATGAGCTACCATGTGTGACAGTTTATGCTTTCTGGCAAACACAGGAGGTGAGGGGTTTTTGTGCTATAGGAGGGGAGAGGGCAACTTGCATGGCTGAGCTTGTGCCTGAGCCCACTTGGTTTGCTGCAGGCTTAGAGGGCACCAGCAGGGAAAGGCAGGATCCATCTGCTGGGAACTCAGTGGAGCTGTATTACCAGGCCCAGCCCAGGGTCAATGGAAAGTGCTTTTCTGTGAACGGAAGCCGCTGGAGCGGCTCAGCACAGCTGCCTGAGTATGTTCCTGTAACTCCTATGCAGAGGATTGGAAGTGTGCAACTGCTGCAGATTCCCAAGGGGATGGCGACGCTCTCTCGCCTCAAGCTTGGGAACGCAATCGTCATCCGGACATCATCCAAACCTCTGAAAAAGACTGACATCGCCACATTCTACATACTGATGGCCAACTCTGCCCAGCTCACTAACTTTACTCTCAGGTATAGCTGTGTTTGCATTTGCTTTATTCTGGTTTCAATCAAGTACCAATGCAAGAAAAACAAAAAAAGTAATCTGAGACAATTTCACTAAGTATTAGTCATCTTTCCTAATTCTTGCACTAATCCACTGGCATCAAAATAAGGCCATGTTAGGAGCACTGAGATATAACAAGGATTATGGCATTTCTCTGAAAATATCACAGGGTTTTTTTCACTGAAGAGGACTAGATTATTTGCTCTAGTGCAGCCTGATGACATTAAGAGCTGTTTCAAGAGTGATAGTCATCATGGTTAATGTGGGTCAAATAAAGTCACATGTGACTCATTATTCCTAAAGGGATATATACCCAGTATTTGCTCTAGGTTAGATTATGGAGATCATGGAGATTAATAGCATGGCTCAGGCGAATTTAAGGCTTTTTTTTCATTTTGCAGTGCTGCATGTTTTTCTTTTACTGCATGTGATGTTTAGGATAAATTCATCCCTGGAGTGTCTGGCTTATCACTTTAAAATCAAATAGGTTTTTGACAGTTATGATAAAATTACCTTTCTTGTCTCCTGAAAAATAAATGCTCAACCACTCAATGTAGATTGTTATTGATGGAAATACCGGGTATTGCTAAATTCTTTTTAGCGTTTTTATTTTTCATCCCATATATTATTAAATCCCCTAGGCAATCTTGTTGAAATCTTAAGCAAATTACAGATGTTTATATCTAACAGGTAAGAAACTGATGCATGCCTTTTCTGTTGTTCGCTCATTGAAATCTGAAAAGTGTGGTGGGCTTTTCTATTCTACCTCACATATACCAGAGTCACCTTTAACTGTAAATATGCCTGCAGGTTTTCATCATGATCTCCCTGTGAGGTTTAGCGTTCCTGTACTGAAATATTTTATCCACTTAATCTTAAGTGGTTAAAATCCATGATTAGATGAACTTGTTTGAGGAAATATGTTGTAATTTTCCTGTTAATGTAAAAATAGCTTTTTGGTGATGCGTAAATCTCACTGTTATTTAAAAATGATCTATCCTTTCTTATATTTTTCACTCATGGAGGTTGGTTGATGAGACAGTTAGGTCTTACTAGTCTGGAAGACAAAGTAAAAACAGGCAGGGTAAAATTGTCTGATATAAATTTAGACAATGCCACACTGCATTACTGCCTCAAAGGCATAATGAGCTGTTATTGAATAGTCAACTGCTGAAAGAAACAAATGTGATCAGCTTTTGATTTACTGTTTACTATTTTAGCTATACACAATTAGCAGCAGCTAACATGAGATCAAAATCAAATCGGAAAATAGCGAAAGACTGTTTCAGGTGACAGTGAATTATCTTTCAGTCATTGCAATGCATCGTTCTAACATATCAGAAAAATATTTCATCCAGATGCTTGACATAAACAGCCTCGTTAGAAACTAGTGCTTTTTTAATTAGTGTTGCACTGATTCTGATACCAGTATCGGACAGGGCCACAATATTGCACTATAATGATGGTATCGGTATCGCTGAGTACCGACAAATACTGTATGGCACCGACACCATAATGAGAGCCAAAAGTTTATTCAACTATTGTCACCCATTCCAGGTAGGCAATAAAAAGTTCTACTGGATTCACTTTGTATAAATTTTTTTTCCTGCTTTGCAGAGGTAGGCAGCAGCTTGACAAAGCCATGATGGCAAAAATTTTACATCCAAGTAGTATGCAGTTCTTCATATACACACATGAGTTTCAAACTGATGGTATCGATATGGTCTCCAGCCAGATATCGGGGCCAGAAAATGGAATCGGCGCAACACTACTTTTTATCATAGTAAGAATTTCTTAGCAGTAGCTGTACAAACACCAGCTTATTAGGCCAACTCTCCCCTCTTCCTCTGTCATTCCTCCTCATCTTCATGAACTCTTGTGATGTATTGCTTTTTTGGCTATACAGAGCTTGCACTACAAGACCCATGTATATGCAGCATCGCAACGTCTGTATGAAAATATTTTTTTGATATTTTAAGAAACTAAACAGTTTGCTATATTTTTACTGCCTTGTTTTTACATAAAAAAATCCTAAATAAAGTTTCTTTTTGCAACTAATCGCTTTAACAAAGCATCTCAAGCTAAGTAAGGATGATGTACTCAGCATACAGTACATTTCTGAGTCTTACCACAGATTTAAGGTAAAATCTATGTAGCCTCAGATTCACAGTCTCTAATGCTGCGTTCAGACTGCAACCAGCAGAGGCAGCAGAAGCAGCTAGTTTACATTCAAAGTCAATGGCTGACGTGCATCAAGGCGCAGCAAAAAGTCCTGCAGCACCTTTTGGGTAGTTTCTGAGCATCTGATGCGTCTGACTTGCTGCGAAAGCAGCAGCTGCCGGAGTCAGAAAAATTGAACTTTTGCTGCTCGACGTGGCACATCAACCAATCAGAGAAGCTGACTTGGGAGCTGGCAGGGAGACAGACACAGCGCTGCCGATGCAGATCGCTATGATCACTCCTCTGAAACAGTTTAGAAACGCCTAAATGAACTTAGAATGTCGAAACCTGCTGGTAAAATATGTTTGATTTTATTATTCTGGTGCCTGCAGTTTGGATTAGGTACGTGAAAAGTGCTAGCATCTACCTCCAGCCGCCGCGAACAGTGGCGGAAAAGGCTGTTATTGAATGGGATTCCCAGTGACAGAGCACCGGCGGTGTACAGGGAGCTGAGCGGCGGTCTGAGCGGAGGATCGTAATCTTGATGAACTGACTGCACAGATTAAGTTTTCAGGTTGACTTTCTCACTTAAAAACATATTAAAACTACTTTTTACCCACTGATCACAGCAAATATAGCTGCTATTGCTACAGGCAAAGAAAGGATCGGGTAACTTCGCCCAACGTGCATCAGACCCACTTTTCGAGCGTGCAGCAAGAGCAGCAAAGATGCTTCAGCCGGGCGTCAGAACTGAACTTGTACAAGCATCAAAAATGGAGCAGCATGCGCGTTTGTGCTGCTTCTGATGCTTGCGGTCTGAATGTGGCATAATAGTTTTTCTTCCAGGATTGCAAACTATTTATCTTAATTCTTCCTGGCCAGAGGCATTGCTCTTGCCATAGAGGTGTATTCCAGTAGCATAATACTGCCAACACCATGTCTGGTCTTCGTATCGCCCAGGGTGATATGCAGGTTTGGTTTGCCGCCTTGGTTGCATGTAGACAATCAAAGCACCTTCTTCACATGGTTTGTCTTACATTGTTAGGAAAAAAATGCAAATGAGTTTTCTCTGTGTGACTTTCCATGATACTTGTCCTGTAAGGTTACAGTAGTGCGTTACTTTACATGATTTAAAAAAAATACATCAGAACATTGGTGAACCTAAAGCTTAGGGGGGTTGAAAAAGAAGATAATAACATGATTTGCTCTGTTTTCATCAATTGTCAGTTTGTTTTTCTGTGATCTCTGGAAGTGATGCAATATGGGAGAGAAATGGAGGCAAAGTAAATTAAATGCACCTGACTAGCTCTCACGGTTTCATTAAAGTTCCCACAGCCATCTGCAACCTTTTGTTGTCTTCTTCCAGTCAGAGATCAAACGGAACGGCTCTGAAGAAACGTACGATTTGCTGAGGTTAGCTGTCAGAACAGACGGAGCTGAGATTTGCGCTAACCTGATTACAGAGGGATTTTTTTGGTTATTATTCGAGACAGGAGTGTCTTTACTCCGAGCAGGTGAATAATGATCTGTCAGGAGGCATAGAACGCTCTTTCTCAAACAAGGCACAGATATTAATTTGGTTTGTTTGAGCAAATAATATATCTGCCTTTGTTTTTGAGCAAGGTTGCCTTACTTAAAACCTGGCCAAACAAGGATCCATAAAGCTGATGCTCTCCTGTCAGTTTCTGGACAACTAATTAATCCACAAACTGTAAGGTTTGCTGGAAGGCTCTGCTTTATAATACATATTGTAGAAAAACAGAGTTTTAAGAAGTTGTGGAACAAAAGGAATAGAGGCACAAATAGGAAAGAAAATGATTTACACCTTTAACTACTAGAAATAATCCCTTTTTGTCTAATTTTCTTTAAATAATCTGTCCAGCGCCTCTGTGAAGATGTCAGTTCTTTGCCTGAGGATATTAGTGAATTAGTAGACTGGTTGGGAGAACGTTTTTGGAGAAGCTAAAATTAGGATGAGGGTATTGAACAATATCATAGGCTTTGAAAATCTGACAACCATCATGTAAAACGAGAGGCCAGGCATAGCAATCATTAATAGGAGCTACAGCTAAAGCCTCTGGTCACTGGAGGAACTACATAATATCTATTTGTTGAAACATCCGAAAAAAGGGATCATTCAAATTATGAGTTTATGACAAGCCATGTGTGGTGAAAAACTACCACTGTGAACATACTGTCTCCAGGAGGAAACCTGGTGGTCGCAGTATAATGGTGTTGGAGGTGCATTCCTTCAGCAGGGACGATGACACCGGCTAATGTTAGGATCGATGAAGATAAATATGAAGAGATCCTGGATAAAAACATATCAGGAGCTTCAAAAGACTTGAGGCTTGGGAGGTAGTGAAAATTCACCCGGTCGCCGGCGAGCATTTTTAAAGCGTTTACAACTATCAACTCCGAAACACTGGTGATACCAAGTGTCCAAAGCCCCACAACTCTGCAGCTGTTAAACTTAGAGGTCTAAAATTTTCTGCAGTTGTGGTTGACATGATGTAGAACAAATTAAACTAGAAGGTTTAACTCTCAAAGTATGTATCAAACATGTAAATTGGGCTGATTTATACTCAGAAACCAGGTTGTCTGAGTGTGTCGCAGTGAATGCAAATGTGCCCCCTCCTGTGTCGAGATAGGAGGCCTCTGATTGGTCAAATCTACATCCGTTCTACACTATAAATATTTCCTGTTTGGTACCTTACCGGCTTGTTTTGTTTGTATGACCGCCATTGTGGAAAATGACTCGTGAAGATGGACCAGCTAGAAGAGCGGGGTGCGCAAGAACACTGGG